GTAACCCATGCCACGCAATTTGCTAAGCCTGAATTACGAAGACAAAAATATTTAGTCCCTGTTCTGAAATGTCTTACAGTTTAATGAGTGGAGCAGGGAAAACAGAATGGCTATATAAAGAAATACATGTAATAAAGTGTCATATTTAGAGAGAGGAGACAATGTATAAATAAAAAAATGATTATAGCTTCCTTTATACTGTTAGCTCTAATGTCAGGCTAGGAAATATTAAATTTATTACTCCTTTGTTTAGTATTTATTGTTTCTATGGTCAATGATAAAGAGGAGCTACATATATATCAAAAAAGAATTTGTACTCAACATTGCTATTTGCAGCGGAACAAATACATCCCTTCACAAATAATTTCCTAGCCAAATAAAAATATTTACAAAACTTTTCTGAAGAGTAATGCTGGAATGCAGTGCATGTTTCTTTCTACTGCCTGACAAAATAAGACTCCAGAGCTGGGATGACCAAAGTTCCAGTTTTCTTGAGATAAGGGGAGTTGCCAGGATCTGGGACTTTCAGTCTTAAAAGTTGGATAGTCCCAGGCAGATCAGGACGAGTTGGTCACTCCAGCTTCTCCATGTGGACAATACAGAAAATTCAAATGACGTCAAGTTTCATGTTCTAATCCTGGTAGTTCTTGATGGGGGTCTAAATTCTGTATTTTTTCTTCATATTTTGTGAGAAACCCTAGTATCTTTCCAAAACCCTTTTTTGTTTAAGCATTTCAAGTTTGGCCTCTGTCACTTGCAACCAAAAGTAGTCCTAATTTAGACACCCATTTAAACTTCAATGTGATGCAAATTAAAAAGTTAGAAACAAATTATGAATTGAACAAGTTATGGTGAATCCAAACATTGTAATGTTTTGTAGCCATTAATAATTATGACAGATATTTAACTTATTACCTGAAAAAAGAATTGATATATTTATCCATGAAAAAAGCAGGCTGCAAAGCATTTCCTAGTCTATAAGTCACCTTTAGTATATACATATATACATTGGGATTTGTCAGATGACATTGTCAGAAACTATAGTCAAACATGATTAGGGCCAAAAAAAAAGGAAATTCTGGGCTCATATAATGTATTATTAGGATTTAAGGGTAATGGGGTTGAAAGGGATAAGGTTTGTTGGTCAGGAAAACATAGATATGGATTGAGGTAGTTTCCAAATGTAAAAGGGATCCTGTTTTTACCCAAAGAATGGTAGGAAGGGCTACTAAACAAACTAGAAAAACAATTATTTCAAATTGAATGGATTAGGTAGGTAGGTAGGTAGGTAGGTAGATAGATAGATAGATAGATAGATGGAAGATAGGTAGACAGACATGGAAAGAAAAATATAGTAGATATGTGACCATGTTAACAGCTATTTTATATGGATGGTCATGTTACAAGTGATTATTTGTTTCTACCTGGAGCTTCTCTGTTTGTGAGATATACTCTGACTCTCAATCTCTTTTCCACTCTTTGATTTGGAGAGTTTGGAAAGCTACAATCTAAATTGCCCCTAGTATTCTTGCAGCTAACATTCTGGATGCAAATTATCTACTTCCAGTACTTGAGAGAAATTGAGAAAATCGGGAAAGTCTGCAAGGTAGAATGAAGAAAAGATGATAGCATGTTCCTGCAACTTTTGGCTCTTGCTGCTGGCATTTTAGAAATGTGAGACTTTCCTGTAGCTGCATTCCAGGTCTGTGAACCATTTTTCCAGGTAGGAAACTGCAGAATGACATACTACTCTGGCTTCCTAAAATCAGTCACTGTGAGAGGCAGCTGTGGCAGCAGTACTAGCAGCTGCCTCAGGGATAGTAGTAACTCCTCTGTGGATCAGCTCGGTATTCTTTTGGAAATCAGTCCAGAAAGTCTGGAACAGAACCTGTTCTTTCAGCCCTTCCAACAATAAGCAATAATAGTTGCTAAGCTGTAAGCAACTAATATCTCGTATTAAATTCCTTTCTACTTGCAGCAATTTCTGTTTTCTGCATTCAACATTACTGATTTGCCTATATTTTATTATATTGTGATTGTACATATATATATATATAGTGTAATAAAACATACTTAAAAAGTCATTTTATTCTCCGCCAACCCAAATTCCTTATTTAAATTAAGCTGGTCATAATGTATGTATCACATACATCTGTGTCTCCTCCTGTCTGTGTCTCCCTCCTGTCTACTCAGACTTAACTGGGAGAAACCACAGCACATAGTGCAGTAGCAGAGAGTTCCGGCTGTCCCCACCATGTGCACTACGCTCAAAAAAGCAACAGTAGTTTCCACAGGAAAACTGTTGGGTCCAATATGGCAAGACAAAAAGATAGTGAAGTGGAGATATGAGGAATCTTCTAAACTCATGGAAAATCAGGGGTAAAAAGAGGTTTTGCAGAAGTCCAGAATTTCTCTTTGGCACAGTAAGAACAAGAGTAAGAATGATTTAAAATTGTACATTTATATCATCTAATCTTTATGCATGCTTTCATTATCATTTTTTGCCCGCAAGAACTCTGAATTTTGACAGTGTCCATTGGACTTTAAAATCATCTACCTGTTTGCTTGACTATGATTAATTTCCTGTTCTTTACTCCTATAGAATAAAGTTGACATTAGATTGTATTATTTTGTGTCTTTTTTAGTTTTTTTTTTAAAGGAAATGCATATGGGAATTGACCCATATTAGACTCTGTCAAATGTATCAGGAGGGAGTTTCCAATCTTCATCCCTGTAGCCATCAAGCAAGGAATTCCATTGCTCAGAGATAACTGGTGACACTAGCTTGGATAAAGACTTTCTGACATTTTTTTGATGCATTTGCATTACCTTACTTTCTTTTTAAAATGGAAACACACTGTACATACTGTTTACTACTCAATACTTCCTCTCAGCAATGTATCATGAAAATATTTCCATTTCAATATACAGTAGAATCTATCTTTTTTTTTAACGGCTGCACTGTGGACCACTTTATGTATGTAGCTATTTAACATGTATTCTGTTGATCAACTTAGCGATCGTTTCCTGATTTGGCCTCTTAAAAACAGTGAGGCAATCTATAGCTTTGTTTACACGTGAATTAACTTGATTTGAAAAAACTCTTCAAGTGCAGGTTTCATTGGCCACCTAGCAAACAATGTTAAGAACTGGCCAAGTGCAGTGGTTCATACCTGTAATCCTAGCAATTTGGTAAGCCAAGGCAGGATTGCTTGAGCCCAGGAGTTGGAGGGGGCAGTGAGTCACGCAATTACATCACTACACTTCAGCCTGTGCAACAGTGAGGCCATGTCTCAAAAAAAAAAAGAACTACGTAGTTTATATAGTATGAAGCCTGAGAATGAATTAATATTTTTATTATAGTTATAAAATCTGGGTTGAGGTGCAAAAGTCAGGAGCTATTAGTATATTGAGTGTAAACTTCTTCACCCTTTCTCCTGCAGCAGACCAAAAATAGATTCATGAAACAAAGAGGTTATTAGTCACTTTGCTGTATGGATACATTTGAGAATATTTACATATTTGAAATAGAGAATTTAGTCTACCATCAAAAGCAAATTAAACATGTTTCATTGTTCTAAAATACAAATGTATTATCAAAAATATATCAATGTTATCAGTGATTCAGTAAAAGTTATACCAGAAAAAAAAATAAAGTAGATAATTTCAGTTAACAGAGAAAATAACTCATCTGAAAAAAAGAATCTATCTATATTTTATTTCAAGTGTTTCCAAAGAAGAGGCTGGCAATGCGAGCTAAAGCTGAAATTAGTTATAGATGGTGTTAGGAAATCACATATCCTTTAAAGTCTTAAACTCAATAAAACTTAATTCCAAGAACTCTAAGGCGGAACCTCCATGCACTCATCATTGGCCTTATAATGCATTCAGTACGGCAAATACAGAGATAATCTTTTTAACAAAGCATACCTCCATAGGATCTCAAAGCTCAAAGGGAGTTTGAAGTTCATCTAATTGTTCTACCAGACTACTAGTTTATACAAATGAAACAGTAACTTATGTTTGAATATCTCTAGTTACAGGCAACTCTACCAATCACAGACATTTGTTCTATTTTTAGATACTCGGGTTTTTTGGTTTGTTTTTAGTTTTAGTTTTGTTTGTTTGTTTGTTTATCTTGGGTTTAATTCTTCCTGCAAGCTTTCGCTCTTAGAGCAGCCTTGCACATACCAAAGTTATCATCTGCATCCTGAACCTTCTCTTAAGGGTGAATAGCTTGCCATTGAAAAATATTCTGAATCCTTCAATTTAATTTTATTTTCCAGAGGCCTCTGCTTTTTTATTTGTTCATTCATTCTGTCATGATATGATATGGTACGCTCATTCACTGCAAATCCAGTAGTGAGAAAGGTGATGAACATGCTTCTGTCCTCATGAACTTACACTAGGCGTAAGGCCAGATTTAGATAGAGGGAGGACAGTGTGATAAATTTTGTATAGAAAGAAAATGCTATAGAAAACGATTGGAAAGAATGATAAGAGACAGACCTGGAGAGGTGCCTTTTGGGCACATTGAGGTTTGACAGCTTAGAGAAGTAAAAAGTTATTGAAAGCTTTTATAAAAATAGAAATGAAATGATCAAATTTGTATTTATAAAACATTACTCTTGATCTCTTGAAAGAAAACGGATTAGAGGGGGCAAGAGGAAGGTAAGTCAATTCCTAGTAGGCTATTGGATTGCCCCACTAGCTGAAGGTAGGAGATAGAAGGAAGTAATGTGGTATGTGAGAAATGGATTCATTTCACAGATATTTAATAGGCAAGTATTTAGAATTCAATGATCTGACAACAATTTTTAGAAAATAAAGTTTCTGCTAATATTAAAGCTTAAACAAAGTTATGAAGCTGTTTAATTTTTACTTCCTATTGTTTAAAGTGATTAAAGACTTAAACATTGGCAACAGAATAAACAAATAAATTAAAATTAAACAGTATTTTAGAAAAACTCATGAAGTATTATAGAAGAAATATTTCAAACCTTTTTTTTCCTGATTTGAACATGTTAGAAAATGTGTCTGCAGTTTCCCAGATTTCCTAATTCAGTGTTTCATCTTCCTAAGAAAATCACAGTGGAGAAATAGAAAGAAAAGAGCAGAGGATTAAGTGGTGTCTGATAAGTACATACTTTTTAAAAATGTATAATCTTCAAACATATACAGAAACAGTACAATAACAATATTTAAATATGCTCTCTTTTTTGCAAAGACTATGAATAATAAAAATTAGAGTATAAAAGTATTTCTTGCTTTCATGAGCTGGGCCAGAATTCTTTAATTGTAAAAACAATACACTTAAAGTTGAAATTTAAAGGTATGGAAGGTAGAGGATTCAGACAATGCTCTTCACAATACTCAGATTATAAATGTGATTCAGTAAAATTGAAGTTATCTATTTCAAATGCAGACACTGATTTTAAACATTGGTCACCTAGCTCCACCTTCTGGCTAAAACAATAACTTTTGTTTCCCTACCCACTCCTGGCATAGTTTCATGGTTAAATATTATGATGTTGGCGCCACCTGCTGGAATGTTTTTCTAAAAACAAACACATACCCTAGAGATGGGAAATTAGATAGCTGCTATACTGCAGAAATATGACTTCTAATTTATCTGGAAAAATAAAATATAATATTTGAAAAATAGCTAGATTATTCTAAAGATTATTATGAACTATATTTATTCTTATGAAAAAAGTTATATATCCCTTTAGCAATTCATTTTCTATTTCCTCTTTTGCTGTCCCAATGCAAACTTTAGCCACAAAAGAAACTATCCCAAAATAGTTTGAGGAAAATTAATATTTGAGCACACTGAAATAGATTATTCCTTAAATTGTATAATTTTAAGAAGTAGATAGTATTCGTCCCCCATTTACCCACTAGAAAATTGAGATTTATTTAGTTTAGCTGCATCTAAAGTGTCTTATACCAAAATAAAATACAGTAAAATTTGAATTAAGGTATTTTTACACTGAGATTTTGCTTTTTCTACTCTACTTGTTTTCATTGCTAATTAAGGGGGGTTGAGAAAATGTGGATTGTAATTAAATATGATTTTTTAAGCCTGTGAAAACATTTGCTAATCTCTGTTAATAGTAGGTCTTTGTCAGAAGTAAACAACTACTCTTAGCCAAGATCACTCTATTTCCTTTATTAGTTTTCCACAGGCTGCATGCCACACTTTCTATTTGTTGCCTGGGTTTTTTTTTTCTGCCTAGCTATCTCTAAAACCAATCATGATATTCAATATTCAAATCAAATTTGAATATTGACATTTGGGCAGAAAGGTACAAAAGAAGAAACAATAACTTGTTAATTATTCCAAGATCTTGATTAGATTCTACATAAACATTAGGATGCTAAAAGTTCCATCAAATTAAAAACAGATGCTTCATGAATTTACTAATACTAATCTTATTTGATCTAAACTTTTTAAAGGATTTCCTTTTTGTGTTTTCATTGGTATATTATAGCTGTGCATAATTTGGAGGTACCTGTGATATTTTGATATAGTTACACGATGTGTAATTATATCTATCACCTCAAACATTTATCTTTTCTTTGTGTTGGCAACATCACAATTCTTCTAAGTATTTTGAATTATACAATAAATAATTGTTAAGTGTAATTTACTTACAGTACTATTGAATACTAGAACTTAATATGAGCTTTTAAATGCATTTTGAATAGCGTTTTAGCTACTAATAAATGCCAGTCAGGATCCTCCATTGCAGCTGGCAAGGAGGACTCTCTTTTAGGTTAAGTTGTGAAGAAGGATGGCAGCCTAGCAGAATGAAGGTGGATGTGAGAAGCCTCCCTCATCTGCAGAGAGACCTATTAGTAGTAGGACAGAATAAGGTCAGCATACAGAGGGAATAAAGCTAATACTAAGACAAATAGTTATTATTTGAACAAAATTTCCTTTTGTTTTTAACCTATTATCAAAACAAAATAATATTCTTTCCAGTGTGCTGCTTTCATAAGTGTTTCTGCTCTTGCAACTAAAAGAGTGCTAATACAGTACTCCAAAAATACTTACTGATGAATACAGTACTAATACTTATAGTACTTATTGACTAATACAGTACTCCAAAAATATTTATTGACTTAATATATTTAGAATGGAATGATCTTATTCTCCTAAGTTCTCTTTCATTACTTTATTGAATTATGAAAGTTAAGGTAATCATGTACACTTTACCTTTTCTCATATTTAATACGGTTTATAAATGTGCTATAGAAATATCAAAGATCATGACATTTAACCTGCCATATTGTTCAACAAATGAATCCATGCACCCGGAAAGTGTTCCTTAAATATGGTATATGTTCAATAAAGGTAAATGTGTTTGCCAGAGTAATCTGTTTCCATGTGTCAGTTCTAATACATAAAGACAGGAAGGGAGAGTTTTCCAAGGGTTTTATAATTTCATACAGAACTGTAACTCACTGTTACGACAAAGTAAGTTAAGTTAAAGTATCAGTATAATGATTACTAACATCTATATTTGTTATATAGTAGGTGCTTGAAAGAAAATCCTTTGTATGAAATAATAGTGCATTTACATTTTTTCTCTTTGTAAAAAAAGTAATTCTGTCAATATAAGAGGAAATAATTTCTCACACAAATTTTTCAGTTCTTGCTATCTGAAAAAATATCTTATCTAGGATGCTAATCCAACTGTTAGTGTTCCTGTGATTGTGTAAGTATCAGAAGAGCAATTTGTATTTATTTCTGTGATATTAAATACATAATGCAGTTTTCAAAGACTACTTAATTAAATACCTAGGATACAATAAAATCAAATGTCTTTAAAAATGTCTTCAGTAAAAATGAGCATATCTTAATAAGGTTACTTTTTTTGCTTAATAAATAATTCTGTATGCTCTTTGGATAAATTTCCAATCTTCCATTCTGTATCATCTATTTTCACTTTTGTTCTCAAAATAGTAACTTACTGTAGAAAATTGTATGACAATCAAAACTAGAGAATGCATAGAGGAAGACATTTGTTATCTCTGTGAACTTGAATACAATTATTTGCTATTATAACGCAATGACAGTTTTAGTACACTCACCCTGTTATCATCCTAGCTTTCCCTTGATTTGAGATTTTAAGAATTATAAGTACTGCAAGAGGAACTCTCTTCATTACTAAAACTTAGCTGGAAATTAATTTTTGTTCTAAAAATATATTGCATTGTGTTTTTCTAATAAGTGCAAGCTAAATAGTTAAATAAGCTGAAGACTGCAAAATAACAAGAGGCTTCAAATGAGTCCCTTTATTCTCCTGTAAGCTCACACACATATAGTATAAACCTAGAGGAAAACGGAGAGTAACAGGAAGCTATGACTTGCCATACAGACTCTAAGTCTTGAGTATTACTGATCCTAACATCAAGGTACTTTCAATATACAATTTCTAAAAAGGCATACTAGCTAATAAAGATACATCCAATATTGATCCTTTTAGCCACGCCTTATCTAGATTAAAAGTTAAGTACTCAACAATTGTAAAGTGTGACTATTAATCATTCATTTCAGCTTTGCTCTGATGGTTGTCCAAAAATTAGTATTAGGTCCTGAAATTCAGGATTTTTTTTTTCAGTAGGCAGTTAATTGTCACTCCAGCTAAATAATCAACCAGTATTTCCTCTTTAGATTTATATCATTTCCAGGAGCAAATATGACATTATCATCACTTTTGAAAGATTTCTTCAGATCAAAATTAGGCAAGAAGAAATTTTTCTATTGCTCTGAAGATTACCCTTCATGGGGAGGGAGTCATTTATTTTGCTATGAAAGTTAATCACCATTAGCAAAAAAAGAAAAAAAAAAGGTACTTTTGTGTTGATACTTTTATACTTTTATGTGTGAGTATCTTCCTTTCGCTATGAAGCAGGACCAAAGGATTCTGTAACCTTGACTTCCATAAATCAGAACACAAATGAGAAACCAGGAAGAGCAGGTTTCTCTAGACATGTTTCTCTAGACTGATTGCTTGCAGGAGAAGGTGAGTCAGGGCAGAGACTGGACAGCATGAGAAAATGTTTTATATTAATCTTTGGATTCTTGTATGTGTTTGATGAGCTGATGGTACACTTGGGTCCTTTCTAGAAAGAAGTTGTGTTTTCAGTCTTTCCCAAAAATTTTTATTTACTTTGATACAAGATTGATAGAAAGTTAAAACATTCCAACTATGAGAAAAATAAACTATTTGGGGTGCAAATATCACAAAAGTTTGTTGTCAATTTGACTCTTTAAACTTGTAGAGATGTAGCTAAAATAGCTGTTTCTACTTGTAATAATTTATTAATTTATTACACATCTCTATTTAAACCCATGTTTTATAAATAATATTTACAAATGTCCTACATAAGTTTAGAAATATTACTTATTTTCATGCCCACATTTCTTTAAACAGTTGTATTCAACTTTTTCTTATGTGTGTTCAACATTACTGTCATAATTGTCACTGGAGGCTGGTCAAAGTGGCTCACACCTGTAATCCCAGCACTTTGGGAGGTTGAGGCAGGCAGGTCACTTGAGGCCAGGAGTTCAAAACCAGTCTGGTCAAAATGGCAAAACCCCATCTCTACTAAAAATACAAAAATTAGCCAGGCCTGGTGGCACACACCTATAATCCCAATTACAAGCATCCATTGAACCCAGGAGGCAGAGGTTGCAGTGAGCCGAGATGGTGCCACACACTCCAGCCTGGGCCACAGAGTGAAACTCTGTCTCAAATAATAATCATCATCATCACTATAACAAGTTTTTGCATCATATAGTGATTTTCAAAGCCTTATTATTTCACTCCCATCTCAGTGTCTTCAAACACAGCACTTTTTAAGTTCTAGTTTTATGCCATTTCATGTTACAGGGAATTTATCCAACGCCTCGACACTCTTTCATATTACATTAGAATAGTTGTTCATTTTTATCTGTCCTTTAAGTGTATATTTAGGATCTCCAAAGTGTAGCCATTTATTTATTCTATTAGCTTTGAAAGTGATCTCTAAAAGACTTGCTTATAATTACTTTCAGAACTCTAA